TAGCTGGGATTACAGGCACGCACCACCACACCCAGCTAATTTTTGTATTTTTAGTAGAGACGGGGTTTCACCATGTTGGCCAGGCTGGTGTCGAACTCCTGACCTTGTGACCCACCTCTGTGCCTGGCTAACAGCAGCTTTTAAATCAATATGCAAATAAATATATGTTCACCAGCTGGGCATGGCGGCTTATGCCTGTAATCCCTGCAATAAGGCAGGCAGATCACTTGAGCTCAGGAGTTCAAGACCAGCCTGGGCAACATTATGAAACCCTGCCTCTACCAAAAATATGAAAATTAGCTGGACATGGGAGTGCATGCCTTTAGTCCCAGCTACTTGGGAGGCTGAGGTAGGAAGATGGCTTGAGCCCAGGAAGTTGAGGCTGCTGAGCTGTGATTGTGTCACTGCACTCCAGACTAAGATCCGGTCTCAAAAAAAAAAATAAAATTATACATATATATATAGAGGTGGTAAGGAGAGAGGAGTAGAACCCAGTTTAGAAGGCCTTCCTGAGGAGGCCTGAAGCTGAGATCCCTGAAGGATGAGAGGTTAAGCCCTCCAAGCAGAGGGAACAACATGGTCAAAGGCTCTTGAAATGGGAGGAAACACAATGTTTTCAAATAACTAACAGGAAAGAGGAAAGTGGTGGAGCAGAGCCCAGAGCAAGCAGGACAGTGGTTCCAGAAAAGATTGGAGAGGCAGAGGCAGGACCATGCTGGGTCTTACAGACTGAGGCAAGGAATTCGTTACAAGTGTACCCCTAATGCCTTCTGCTCTCTCTACCCAGTGCTGGGGAAGAAATGCGCTGGTTTGTTCTGCTAGTTCTGTCCTCCCATGATAGTCATGAAAGCTGGGGGGTTAAAGAAATTTGGCATGAGACAAACCACCAAAAAAATTATCAGCTTCAGCTTCTTTTTAGGTGAGTAACCTCTATGGACTGGGTGGGTGATGCAAAGGTCTTCATCCCCTCTCCCAGCACTGATCACAGGCCTACAGAAATAAATTCATTAATTCAGCAGTCATCATGTCTGCTGCAGATGGACTCCTTAGTTCATTTGCTTAGATGGTTCTTGAGATGGAATACTGATTTACTACTTAAAACCTTCAAGGGGGCCGGCGCAATGGCTTACGCCTATAATCCCAGCACTTTGGGAGGCCAAGGCGGGAAGATCGCTGAGGTCAGGAGTTCGAAACCAGCCTGGCCAACATGATGAAACCCCGTCTCTACTAAAAATACAAAAAAATTAGCCAGGCATGGTGGCGCACGCCTGTAATCCCAGCTACTTGGAAGGCTGAAGCAGGAGGCTCACTTGAATCTGGAAGGCAGAGGTTCCAGTGAGCTGACATTGCACCACTGCACTCCAGCCTGGGTGACAGAGTGAGACTCCAGCTCAAAAAAAAAAAAAACCTATAAGGGGAGGGAAATGTGCACAAATAACTGTAATAAAAGGAAGAGTGATAAAAAGCTACAAAAGGGTTAACAGATAAGCATTTTCCAACTAATAAAGCGTTTTCTACTACATGTTACAGGAGCCATTCAGTGCTATTGTAAAGAAACCCAGCACTACAAAGTAGTAAATTATAAGTGATGCAAACATTACCTCCTGTAGAAACTCATGGGAAGGGAGGCCAGGTAGAGGCATGCTCCCACACCTGCAGGTGGGCATACAAATCCTCCTTCTGCTACCTTTCCGGAAGAAATTTAGCAATAGAGATCAACAGCGTAAAAAAGAAAAAAAAAAATCATTTCGATCCAATAATTCCACTTCCAAGAATGTATCCTTAGGAAAAAAATAGAGATTTGTTCAAGGATTTCTGTTGAATTTTCCTCATAAGGTTATTACACTATCAAATAGAAATAATTGAAACACCCAAGTTGGGTTACATTATGGGACATGCTCATAATGGCATCATATTTAACTTAAGTTTTTGAAGCACAGTAGTGACTTTTGGAAAAGGCTCAAGACATCGTTTTAATGAGATGTGCAAACTCATCATTACAATATACTAGAAGAAATGCTTTGACAAACTAAGTGGGAACAACTGGGAGAGTGAAGGATGGAGTATCAGGAACAGGGGCATATGAGTTGGGTCTTACAGGTTGTGGAGGTGTTTCCAGGTGGAAGGGAAGGAGGGACCGAGCGGAGAGCCCTAAGTCCTGAGGACAACTGGGAAAGTAACACACCTCTTGAGAAGGGCATGCAGCAGCCATACCTCTCATCCGCCACGGTCAGCAAACCCATTGTGTTTCCTGGAGTGAGTTGGGCCATCAAGATGGGTGGTGCCCTCCTGCTGGAGAAGAGGGGCTCGGCGGGAATCCCTGCCCCAAAGCCTGGCAGCAACGCTCCTCCGCTGCCCTGGGCCGCAGGCTGCTGAGCCCTCTCGCTTCCCTGCGCGCGAAATAAGTCCCAGGGCCAGTGTGGCCTCCCCACCCAGTGCTTCCGGGGGCGCCAAAAAACGACCTGCCCTGACCCGCAGCGTCGGCGCTGCGCGCAAGCGCAGTCAGCTACTGGACCCGGCCGGTGTGAAGTTTCACACCCAAGAGGATGAAGGGCACCTACCTGGCTTAACAGAACGACTCCCAGGTAAAGGGCCAGACCCGGGTGAGGAGTCGGCACAGGGCCAGAGGTGCCCTGCACACTCAGAGCTCTCCCTTTGAGCTCCTTGACTTGCTTGGTTCTCCTGGGCCGCAGGCCTCTACCCTGCGCTCTGGGGTTCTGCTGCCTCTTCCTTGCCAGGTCTTTCCCACAGCAACGCCTTTTCTCTTCCTTCTCGAGCCCCTGAGTCCTCCTCCTCCTCTCCCCAGTGCCTCACCTCTGAGGGACAGAAGTGGGGTGGTTTGAGAGCAGGAGACTGAAGGGAAGAAGCAAGTCCGGGCCTAGCTGCAAGCACTCCCCGCCCCCGCCAGGCTCTTGGACACTTGACTTCTGTTAGGCCGCACACAGTTTGGTCTGAAGTGTTTTTCTCTTAATAGTTGTGGATCAGACAGGCTCGGTGGCTCACGCCTGTAATCTCAGCACTTTGGGAGGCTGAGGTGGGTGGATCACCTGAGGTCAGGAGTTCAAGAACAGCCTGACCAACATGGTGAAACTCTGACTCTACTAAAAATACAGAAAATTAGCCGGGCGTGGTGGCGGATGCCTGTAAGCCCAGCTACTCGGGAGGCTGAGGCAGGAGAATCGCTTGAATCCAGGAGGCAGAGGTTGCAGTGAGCCCAGATCACGCCATTACACTCCAGCCTGGGCGACAAGAGCAAAAAACTCTGTCAAAAAAAAAAAGAAGTTGTGGATCTTTCTGATTCCTGATCCAATCTGTTCAGGCTGGGGCCGCCCTGGTCCTTCAAACCCGGCAGTGAGCTTGGACAGACCCAGAGGTGTTTACTCCAGGTAGTAGAAGCGCTAGACAAAATCAGGCTCTTTTCCTGGTTTAGACCTCTCCTAGCTTACAGCACCTTAGGATGTGGGATGTCTGGAGGTCTGTGTAGCTGGAGGACGCTGGGAAATGTGAGGAGAAGATGTTTCCTCCTTAAAATCTGAATGTTTCTGATCACCTGAATTCTCCTGCTAGCCACAGATCCCACTCACTGTTATCTTATCCTTGTCCTTCTGTCATCATTTACCTGCCTAATCCCTGAAGGTAGTGAGTTTCCTGTTACTGGAAGTGCACTTCTCCGGGCCCTTACTTGTAGAAGTTCTCACAGATGCGGCTTCTCCTCTGGCTCAGATCATGTCTACCATGAACGAAGCAGCCCACCGGCTGTCCAAAAGTGGGACGAGCCTCTATGCAGTGCTGGAGCTTAAGAAGGGTGCCTCACCTGAAGACGTCAAAAAATCCTACAGGTTCAGACCTCAGTCCTTTACTGATCCTTGGAATTTCCCCCTTAAAGCCTTTTTCTTTCTGTATCTGTTTTGCTATCTGACTCTTCTTCTTCTTTTTTTTTTTTTTTTTTGAGAGAAATTCTCACCCTGTCCCAAAGCAGAGACAGAGACTGTTGAGCCTTCTGAGAAGCTGGGACTACAGGCGTGCACCACCACGCCTGGCTAATTTTTGTATTTTTAGTAGAGACAAG